CTGGGGGTTGCATGTGTGATGCATGCACAGTCCGATCTCAGACTCCAAACAGTGGCGTTAGCAGTTCTGCCTACGATGGCCATAGAGAGCTTGGGTGTCACTTTCAGCCCTGTCCTGCTGAATTGCAAGGTAAAGAAAGAGCAGAGCAGGAACATGGAAGCCCTCAAGGAAATAAACAGACCAGAGGAAATCTCTTTAAAAGTCTACCTAGAGATAAGATCATTTTTCACCTGGCCAAAATCTCTCTGCACAACTGCTGCTCCAGAAAAGCCAACAAAGCAAGGTGACTGTAGCACTTAAGACCCCTGAAACTAAGGCTGCATATGTGAGTGGTGTTGTGAGGGATGAGGAATGAACAGGAGATGAAATGCGTCGACATGAACAGGAGATGAAAAGGAGAGGCCACCTCATGATCCCTCTCTGGGAGCTTCAGAAAGAGTGCCAGTGACCTAGACATCCTGTTCGACCTTCATTTTCATGGTGTCTGATACAACCCTAACCACCCTTCCAGGCAGCCCTCATGACAAGATCCGCAGCTAAAGACAAAGAGGCAACCTACCCTCCAGGGGAGTCTTTTTACTTGTGAGTCAACATCTCCAATACCCTTTGTCTCCAAAACTCATATAACACCCACCCTTTCTTTTCCTTAGATTTCTCCCCTCTTGTTTTCCACTTTCCTGGAACTGGACTATACCAGATCTGCTATCACAAAAATGTTTACTTATCTTGCTCTTGGATCTCATTAAAAGTATGGCTGCAGCTCCCAATGAGATGTGACAACAGATCTTCTAAATCTGCATTTTGCACATTGGAGAATTCACCTCAGGACCACACTGTTTAAGGATCTGTGTGTGTGAGTCCAGTTTCTGCATTGCAGAGCCTGCTGCAACCCTCTTCTTGCCCCACTCCTCTGCCTGTGAAGCCTTCCCTTACGACTGCTCCCAGCTTCTTCTACTCTGGACAAATGAGGCACATTTCTCAGCGGACTGCATTCACCCCCTCCCCTTCCTATCTTCTCTTCTTCTTTCATGTTCTTCCACATGGTCCTGCCCTAGAAGTGGTGGCTGAGCATTTTCTTCACCAAGAAAGTTTATAGCCTCACAGCTGTTCCACCGGCACACAGCCTTACAAGCCAAGCCAAGTCTGTACAACCATTGTAGTTCATGTTACCTATCTGCCATTTCCTGCTTACGGTTACTCAGAAATTCATTATTGAACAGCTGTTTTGTGCCACACAATTTTATTCATGGACACGTGCCTTGTGTTTCCTATTAAGCAGATCAGCTGTCTTCCTCTCAAACTTATCCCAGGATCAAGTACACAGTGGCTACTCAATAAATATCCAGTAGCTATTACTGATTAGTACCATTTACTGTGGCACATTCTAGATGTTTCTGCCTTTAGACCTGGCATGCTAGTCCTCTACTTACCTACCTCCTAATTTCTCTCATCTCCTAAAGAGTCCATCCTCCTAAACCACTTCAAACCACAGCATTTCCTTTGTTTTAGTTCCTGCTATATTGAAATATGGTACTATATCATGGGTGCTTACTTCTCTAATGGCTCTGCATGTTTCTCTTTTCATTTGGATTTAAGCTCACTGACAGCAGGACTTGTGTTGTGCTCAGTCCATTGACCTGCTCCATCCCCCTTACAAATATTTACTGACTGCTAATTCACTAAGCAGTGACTACCTGATTATTTGACAGGATGTTTTACAGTGGGAATTCCTACTTGGTAGCTCTGAACTATGGATTATGCTGTACAGTTTGTTGATGGCCTACCTGATGTTCTTATTAAGTAATGCTCAGAAAATACTAGAACTGGGGGATTTTTAAAAACCTGAACTCTTTCGCTTTTCTGTAATCTACCTGGCTTGTTTCTGGATGGCCTTGTAGTAACTCAGTAGTGCAAGGATTCCATGTGTCTCCACTCCCCATGATGGGAGCAAAGCATGTGCAGAAGGCAGCTGTTGCACAGGGTAAGTAGTTAGCATGGGGTGTGAAACCTGCAGGACTCTGCTGTAGAGACAGCATTCAGCTACAGAGTCTACATGTCCATCACGATGCACAGGAAAAACTGACCTCTCAAAACTTTCGGCAAAAAACAGTGCACAGGCACTTTTTGCTTCGTGTCATTGTTGAAAACTCTTAGTGAATTTCCCAAGTTTCTAAATCAACTCTTCACTTTCTTCCTTGGCCCTTAGTATGCCTAGTTTCTAACTCCTTCCATGAAATCTCATTCTACTTCTCCTCGACTCCCCTATACAAATTTACCACCAGAGGCAAAGTGACCTGATGATTCCCACCCAATGCATTGAAGACCACGAAGACCTCTCTCCCTGGAAAACTCTCATGGCCCACATTTCCCCAGTCTAGTCCTCCATTTCCTATTGCAATGCCTCCACAGCCCATCAAGCACTGTATACCTCTTCATTCTCCCCATTTCATGGGCTGATACAGCCCCTTCCATCCAATAGCAGGCATTAGTTCTTGGCAGGACATGCATGCCCCTGGTTCATAATTTAAAAGAATGGATATGTATATATCTTTGTTCTGTCTTCCCAGTCTTGGTCCTATATCCTGAGTGTCACTTTAAAATAGAGTTTCAGACCCATTTTTCATGCTTTAAAATACAATAGGGATATTTTAACTCAGAACACCTCCTCTAATTTCAGCATGTGAGGCTGCAATATCGTAGAGCTTCCAACTGTTATGGAGTTATAGGGATGTGACCTCTGAGGATGACCAATTAGGCTTAGTAATCTCTTTGGAAATAAAATTAAAAATCTTCTGTAGACTCCCTTATTTTCATGACAACACTAAAATTATTAACAACTGATACAACATGAGCAACAACCCTTCAGGGAAGACTCCACTTAAACAGTCAGTATAACCATATTAAGAATATAAATCCACTGGAAATAATTTCTAACCAGTGCACTTTCATAAATACATCCAAAAGGTCTCATCCCTCCTTCAAACTATTATGGAATTTAAATGTTAAATCAACTCTTCTGGATAAAAGAAAACATGCCCTTTTGGAACACTGGGTGAATAGAACAGGGGTAGAAATATAATTTACCGGGAAGGTTGAAAGTGAATTCTCATTTCCTTTTGCTTTTTAAAGAGAATCAGTCAAGCCCTAAGTAATGTGGGCCTTTCAAGGGCTATGGTGATTGACGGTTTTACCACCAGTCCAAAAGCAACAAATAGGAACAGAATAGAAAGTGGATAGATTCTGCGCTGGAACTCAGTGTCCATATTGGATGGATTTGTTTAGTCTCCTGAGAGTCAAACATGGCTGAAATCCTAGTAAGATTATTTGCCATTCTTTCTCTCCTTTTCTACCTCTCTTCCTCCATCTTGCCCTTCCTTCCTTCATTTAATGAGGTTCTCTTTGAGGATAAAATGATAGATCAAAATAACACTTATGAATAGTAAGGTGCTACTATATTAATGAAAAAATCAAATAAGCAGGAAATGGAGAAGACTGATGACTTCCTAAAGCCCAGACCTATGTGGGGAAACCAAAAAGGGGATAGTGGAATGAGGCATGGGGGGATGTCTCAGGATTATCACTACCTACTAGGCATTGGACATGTGGGCTCAACAGAAAAAATTAGCCAGAGCTGGACACTGAACCAAGAGAAGGGAAGGCAGAGATGAGATTAAGAAGATAACCCTAGAAACAGGAAGAAAAAATCTGGTCAGTGTGATTAAGGTACATGTAAATTTAGCAATTTGCATCTTGAATCTAGAGTTTCTAAAAGATAAGCACAGGAGTAAACCCAACTATGTTACATGTATGTCTGGAGCTGAAAATGTACAAATATTGCAGTTAGGAGTACTGCATAGTGATGCAGCTGTAATGACCATGTTCCAGTCCTACAAAAGACTGTCTTCAAAGGACTGGCCAAGGACAGGCAATTACTCTCATTTTCCTCTCCTAATTTAGATCTTGTCCTCTCAGATCTAAAAGGGACCTCAGTGCCAACCCAGTGAACCACTGTCATTTTAAAGTAATGCGGATGCCAACAGGTTAAAGAACATTTTCATAACTTATACCTAGTTGTTTGCAGATTGCTCTTTAATCCTCATACTAAACCTGCAACAGGGAGCTTTTTGTTTTCCACATGAAAATATCTCCGATTTCATATGTTTTCTCACTTCCACCCTTTCCAATGCAAACCAAACAGTTCTAATCTCTTGTCTATTTAAAAATCTCCATTCTTTTACAACGTATATCATGAGATGGAACAACTCTTAGAAGGAAGGAGCATATTCTCCAACGCTTTAGTCACAATCACTTCTATTTAAGGTGTTTTATATTGGGGTGAGGCAATATTTTAAAATATAAAATAGCCAAGACAAAAATAAGTTTTATCAATGAGAAAAGTGACAATGGTAGTGATGCACTTACACATAGATTCTTTTTGTTTTGTAAACAGCCTATTGGTGGTTCTGATTCCCAAAGCACCCAAGAATCATTGTTTAGAGAATGGCTTTTCTGGAACCCTAGAATGGAATGGGAGATCAGAGCCCTATAACACAGAGTATGGACAAAGAATACCATCATTGCTCTAAAGAGAATGTAAATGGAAAGATAGTCTTTCATAGCAGAGATGGTTGAGGACTCAGGGACAAATAGAAACAAGTCGGGAAGCTCTGGTATTCCCTTGAGCCCTCTAGAGGTGTTTCCACTTCTCTTTCAACTTACCAGGTACTAGTTTTTGCCAAAAGGACCACAACTTAAGTCATTTTAAACACCTCCTTTAAAACATGCCTGATTCTGTTTTTCTGGCCCAGAATAATTCATGACTACAAAGGCAAAACAGCAAGAGCTTATTTGCTCTGCCTTGGAAGAAAATGGATTTCTATCAACTTAGGTTTTAGAAGGGCTGGGGATTTAGTTCAGTGGTTCTGCCCCTTGCCTTGCAAGTGCAAGGTCCTGAGTTCAATCCCTGATACCAAAAAAAAAAATTAATCATCATCATCATCATCATCATCATCATCATCATCATCATCATCCATCATCATCATCAACTTGGGTTTGGAGGATACTTGATGAACCAAGGAGGCCTTTTTGGCAGATACTATCTCACCCATTATGATTTTTTTTTAAGTGTAGTTCAAATTTTTAGTCATATGCAGAATTGAAATGGGGATGGGGTCTACATTTCTACTCTCAGACTGCTTTGGTATGGAAGGACAAGGGAGAAGAGGAAAGGGGCCACCCTATATTCCTTAATGGAAGATTCTTTAGGGGTTTGACATTGCCCAAGGGCAACAAAAGGTCTATGACAGGTTCAGAAGTGGTTATTAGGAAGAAGAGTGGAGAAGGGCCCACTACAGTTCATGAAGGAAAGAAGAGCGTGGATCGATGTGAATGTATTATGGTGACCCCAATGCAAAATCATTATGTTAAAAAAAAGGCTTAGCTTTCTTGAAAGCTGCCAATACCTTAGCAGGAGATTTTTCCCCACCAACACGTTTGACTTCTGTTGGAAACCAAGAAATGTTTATCAGCCTGAATATAGACTGTTGACGTCATTTTAGTCCGCTGAGTAGACTAGTGATCGATTATAAGTAGTTTTTTTTAACTATCCAATTGGACATATATTATATTCACAATACTTTTATAGAACTAATTCTACAAAATGTGACAATAGAGTGACCACAGTCCGACACATCACTGCAGGACAATGCCTACAAGGTGGAAGCATGACTACTTTGGCTCTGCAGGGAATGGACAGAGGAGGAAGGTCATTTTGCCTAAGTCAGTAATTGGAGTACTTAGTGGACATGTGTTTTCATAGTGACCTCATTGGTCTGCTCTGATCTGATTTGCACTACTGTAACTAGGAACCACAGGGTCATGGCCTAAAGAGTTCATGGAATAAATATCATGGGACTTTGAGGGACATTTGGTTTAGTTCGGATAAGTATCCACAGTTTATGTTTTTAAGAAAATAAAAATCACTATTACATCCATGCTTCTCCAGAGACCCTGATGGTCGTATGAAAAATGGATCATTTTGACACTGAAAGACTTGCTACTCTTTGGAACAGAACAGTTGTTGAGGTGGCTGCACGAACAACATGCAAGCGAAAGCAGAGCTGAGAAGTGGTGATGGTGTTTGATGGCTGGAAAACTCTTTTGACCACAGTTTGAAGTGGCTCGTATGCTTTGTTTCATTGCTGGTAATTTTCAAAGGCCTTTTACTAACAGTCTATGTTGTAGTGCATTTGTTGCTTTCCTTTTTGTTATTATTATTATTGTTTTAAATTGCTTTAGCGAGCTTGTGTATTGTTTTGTCCCAGTAATTATTAAATCCAGGAAAGTGAGCAAATGAAAATCTGCGCCAAGTCACTTCCTTGATCATGGAAATTTTCTGGATTTTAAACAAAACTTTAGGGAGATAAATGAGTTCATCTCAGATCCCATTGCTAAGGAAAACTACTCATTGGTGTCTTTAAACTTTTAGTCTAAAAGCTCTGAGACTAGTGGTCGGGGGAGAAAGTTCACCAGATGCTCCCAAAGTAGAAATTAATCGCTTGGTTGTTTTGGAACTGTGAAATGAGAAGCATAACACCACATAGGAGTCCCCCCCCGTTAGAACAACAATATGTCTTGTGTGCCCTGGTTCTCAACTCCCACATCCCAGGGATGCTCATAGCCTTTCTGGTACTGCTAGCTGGATGCCTAAACCTGATTGGCCATCATAAAAAAGGTGCACGAAGGTCTTCCCTTTCAATATGTTGAAAAGGGATGAGGAATACAGCAATTAAACCAAAACTACGAAAATTGGACTTTCAACTGTGAAAATAAGTAAGTTTCCATTTATTAAGAGCTGGTGTCAATGCAGATCAAAGCACACACCCTTCCAAGAGAGGAGCCGGTGTTCACCTGCCCTCTTTTGTCTCATCTGGACTTACTAAAACACATGTATACATTGTCAACCATTGTAAAATTGCTTTTATAATGCATTTCCCATAATGACAATTAATGGTGGTGGTGACCATCATTCTCCTCAAAGGAAAAGAGAGAAAGAAGAGAAATAAGCATTAAGGAGTCTGGCCACTTCTTCATTTTGATTTTGCATTGTTTAGATATAGGGAAGATATTTGACAATGAAAAAAAAAAGAAAAAATATATTTTCTTTTCTAATAAACAAAATAATTTAAAATGCTAGAGGCTATACATGACTATTTTAGTATGCTCATTTATAAATGAAATCATTTTCTTTTCCAAAATACATGGAAGCAATATTCAAGGCAGACAAAGAGAAAGACCTGTCTACGTTATTTTCTTGCAATTCTTGCTTATCCTAATGTCTCCACCAGTGATTCAGCATGTAAGAGGAAGAAAAGTCACGTCACCATTTATGAAGTTTGTCAGGCTTTAAAAAAATAGTTCTGGTCTCCTGGGAGTCAACATTCATCTTCAACTTCTCTGATTGGAGGAATCAAGCTGCTTGTGGATTTATATTGGTTGATCTGGTTAGCCATGTGGGTACTCATGGGCTTGATTTGAATGTTTCTGGGATAGGCATTATCCGGTTCATCTGTAAACCATTTCTTTTCTGCTAAAGGGCAAAATGGATAGAGAACAAGAAGGAGAAATGAGAAGTTTAATTAGTCCTAGGGTAAAGATTTTGGAAAGTTCATTGAAAAATGCAAAAAGGTAATTGATAGAAGCTGACAGTGAGTAATTGTTAAGAGAAACAGTGAGGTGTAGGGAGGACCCCAGACCTGAAACATACCTCTGCTTCCTGCAGCAAGTGATGAACAAATTGTGTCATTTGGACTTGAAAGCACCATGGGTGAACCTCAGAGAGTATGGAAGGATTAGAAAGTGAATGCTGGCAATTATCTCTGGAATTACTTTAGTGGCCTGAAAAGCTTTGGTGGAGAGGAGATGCTGCATATATCAAATATTGGGCACAGACATGGTTCTTAAGGAAAAATTTATGCAGCCATTAGTTGGAGTGGAGGGACTCATCCCTGCTGCAGAGCAATTGATCTAGAATCTCCTGCAGGATGACCACCTCCAAGCCTTTACTCAGGCTTGCTTATAATGAACAGGCTTTGAAGGCACTCGGCAACTCTACCATTTCTGATTCTTTTGCAGCCAGCTTTGCGGCGGGGAGTGGGGGTGTCTTAAAGGAAACATAGACTTTGCTGACCAATGAGTGAAAATTAGAGAAATGTCCAATGTGTTTAGGAGGCTTTTGAAATGGCTTTACTTTCAAGAATGCGAAGTCTGTGTTGTTATAAAGCTATGAAAGGAGTTCCAAGCTGCAATAGCTTAACCCACTATACTAACCCAAGGTGTCAACACAGGAGCTAGATGAAGTCTTGGCATTTCATTTCCACCCTAAATATAGAAAGGGCTAAGAGAGATGCTGGGTCAGGGTCTTCCAGGGCTGGACTGAGAGTGAAATGGTCTTGCATCTCTTAGCCTTGCAGTACTATTTTACAAGACTCAATCTTCACCCCCACCTCTTTCTTCCTAAGATGGAAAATTTCTGGGAAATTGGCCACCTGTATAGATAAGAAGGGACCAGGCAAACAGGACATTCTAACTCAGGCATCATCCACTTCATTTTAGTGGTTTAGGGAAAGAAAAGAACAAGGGGAAAAGCTTTAAAATACACTCACTGCTATAGAGATAATGGCCTGTTCTAGTTTCCTCTTCGAGCAGAGCTGTGCTAAGTACTCAGTGATTCCGGACTGGCATGTTAATGAGAACTGTTCACCTGTCTGGGTGCATGTGTGTGCATGTGCAATGGTCTATAAATGAAGCATCGGTGACCATCTCATCACCATTCTTATTTCTCCTTTCTCCACACTTCCCATGCCCCAAGCCTTCCGTGTCACTGTGGGCCATTTCTGGGGCAGGGGTGTGCTTGGGTAAAAGGTTCACTACCCTTTGTTCAGCAGCGCAGTTTACCCCTCAGGACACTTGCTACCTCTCGCATCATCCTCCCCACACCCCTCCTGCTCTGGCTCTCTCACCTATTATAATTAAGTTCACTTTGATTTGAACAGATTGGACGATAGGAATTCATAATGCTACATCCTCACAGCGAAGCTAACTGATTAAGTGCTTTAAATTATTCCCCCTGACAGAATGATAAAGTTACAATCTGTTCTGAGATGATCTACAGCTTGCCAGACTCCTACAGCTTCTTTCTACATTCATTTATCTTTTTGTCAAGCAGAGGTTTTTTTTTTCCCCCTAAGCTTCAATTCCATAGATCTTTTAAAGTCATCAGCACATCTGAATTATTAATGAGGCTTTAGAGGCAAGACTCCTGATGGGCTGGTTAAAAAAGGTTGTATAGAAATCCAGGACTGTGTACACATCAAAATAATTTCAGCTCCATTTAAAAAACCATTTAGTTCAAGTGTGACATAGATGAACCATTATGCATTTGTGGAAACCAATTTTTTGTGATCTACGATTAAACTAACCTTTCAGAGAAGAGTAAAGTGTGATGGTTATCATGTTTTAAAAGCATTGCCAGGCCTCTGAAACAATTTCAAACTACGACTTTTTCGAACCGTTTATGTGTAAAGATGATATTTGGTGTTGAGTCTGGTGTTTGTGTTCTACTTGCCTGAGCTGCCCTTGGCTTTGACCACACTGTTATGTGGAATGATTTTGCAAAGGGATTTAGTGCTGTCTTGGACATGCCAGATTGCCAGAGAGGACTCTGCTGATGGAAACGCGGGGGTCTTTTGGGTGAAAGACCTAAGACAGCTGCAATTTGCTGAAATTTTCACAACTACTGCAGAGAATAATTGTTCAGAATTCAGTCTTTACAGTTCAATTCGAAGTTGGCATTTTGACCTTTCACCACAGAAAGAATATCAATTTCCTTCTGTTGTCTATAAGAAAGGGAGCATTATTTCTCATTTAAGTTTCTCCCTTTCCCTCTAAGTTTCTAGCTGAAAAGCTAAAATCTAAGCACAGTATCCCCTGTATTTTGGCCATGCAGCTTCAGCACAAAGGAGAGGTTGTACAAAAGCACCTCCCAGTCAAGAGGGGAGGTTCATCATACCTCAGAAACAGACATATCATTTGGGCGCACCTCCTAAGATACAAGCATGTTTTATCAGAGACTTTATGAGGGATGGTGTTGAAGGGATTGAAGTACATGAGTGCTCTGGTCATTTTATTAAAACACCTAGTGGAGATGGCATTGTACAAAGAGATGCTCCCAAGGAGCTTCAGAGGAACCCATCATTTTAATGCCTGCCAGCCAATGGACTATAATAGGGATCGCTATGAGCATGGCTAATTGAATCTTGTCTTCCAAGAAGAAACTATACCAGTGGATGGCTACAAGGCTGACCACAAGGGAGAAAATTCAGAGAAGGAATTCAACTAAGTTCTGCAGTGATCAAGAATAAATCCAAATTCCTGAGTTTGTCTCCATTCTCTTCCTTGTCCCAAATCCCAGAGAGATTTCTGAGCACTCTCTTGTCATTCTAAGGTGAGAAAGGTGATTGATCTGGCTGTGAGGACCTCTTCACTGTCAGAGGAAAATAGCCCCATCTGTTCATAAGCTTCTTGATGAGAAGATGCGTGATGTCCTCCCCCTGAGCACATGGGTCACTTGCCGAGAGACTTGGTGATGAGGTAGTTAGTGGGGTTAAGGAATGGCATCTCCTAGTCAGTGGCAAGTGGGCAGTATAACAAAGTGAAATTGGAAAATAGCTGGTGGTGAAATAACTACTACTGCCATTGGAGATGTTACCTCTGCAGACCAGTTATGCCCACAAGCTGTCCACCACGGACATAGTGTAAGCCATGAGGAGGAGGCAAAGAAAATGGCACCAGGCAGTGGGTTGCAGTCAAGTGGACTTGGCTTACTCATGTACCAGCTGCCTGGCACTGAGCAAGTTACCATGTAATTAATCTTAGTATCATTTCTCTTCTTTAGGACAGGACTGAGGATATGACTTCCTAATATTGTTATGATCAATGAAGCTAGTGACCATGAAGCACTTACCAGAGGCCCAGCTATGTGGTAAGCAAATATAAATTGGTACAGTTATTAACATTATTAATGTTGGGACATTATATTACAGTGACTAACTTCCTAGACCTTATTGTTCCTCAGATTCTGCATGTGGCAAATGATTCTGACAACATCCACATGCAGGATAAGCATGAGGATTAAAGGTGCTAATACGTATAAATACAGAAATGAGTGTGTCCATGGTAATCACTAAGGCGTCAGCTTTTGCTCTAAGGTTCATACTGGTAAAAGTCCTGTTAGTACTGAAGTAGGATGTCAGGGTGGGTGTACCTTTTGGATACGATTACAAATTGAAGCCCTTCAACAGAGAACCTGGAAGTAGAGGATTGGGGTGTACGACCTGGGGTGCTGGCCTGAAGAGTGTGGCTTGTGAAGTAGAATGACACAGGAGGACTTGGAGAGTGGTCTTCACTTGGAAGGGGAAGGAGAAGGAGTAACCTGGTGTTACACCGGGGGGTTCACGGCTACAACCTTCCTGGGATGCATCTGTGTCTCCGATATATTGGCTTTCACTGGGTAGGTGTCCAACCTCACCTGAAAGCCATCTGTGCCTCTGTTGCCGGTCCCTCACTGAGATCACAGGGCCCACAATGCAGGTCAGGCCTTCCTCGAGTCATGTGGCTGCAGGTCAGTTGGGATCCCAAAGGAGAGAGCTATCGTGAGGTAAGGCTAACTACTGGGGCACCAAAGCAGAGAAAGAAACAGGCTGCACTGTGAACACTGAGCTTCTGTGCTGGCTCTGTGGATTGTCAGTGTGCTGGAATTTAGCCTTTTCTCATAACAACTCCCCAGAGAAGACTGCAGAAAAGGGGACAGAATGACACAGCAAAGGCATTTGGAATAATTGGCCCTCTTCTCACTGTGCCACAAGCTGAGGTTTAGAGAGCAAAGGCATGAAAAGAAAAGATTCCATCTGGATAGAGATAATACCTGAGAGCAGTCAGGGCTAACAAGGAGCTCCAGCCTTCAAGGGCAATGCTATGCAGGCACACAGCTCACATTTCTGTGAGGCAGACTGGCTCTTTTCCTCTGTCCACAAAATCCTGTTCTCCCCAACCCCACCCACACTGACCACCTTCTCTCCTCTCCCTGGTCGGAACAGGGCTATTGCATAGAGATGAAAATCGCTTATACCACAATCAGAACACTTTCTGTCTGTGTCACTTCTTACAATTGTCCATCGTGGCTGTCTCTTTTAACTGAAAGTCTAAGGCTGCCACTCACTAAGCAGAGTAAACTGACCCTTCCGCTGCTCCCTCTGTGCCCCTTGGTCCAGCCAGAACCCTGAGGACAGATTCTTCTCTCTTCCTTTCATGTGCCAGAGGATGCTCCCTCTCACCTCCAATGGTTACAATGCATGTAATCTCCGCATGGGAGACAGTCAACCTGCTCAGTGACAGGTGCCCACAGCTACTCCTTTATCATATTGTGACAAAGGAGGGCAGGGCTGAAAGAAGCTGATGGAGAAATTGATTTTTACCCTGTCTTGACTTCCACAACCCCTGAAGTTTCTGCACTCTCCCGTTTCTTCCTCAAGGAGCCTGTTGCTATAGGAACCTGGCAGGTTGGTCTAATTGTCTCTATTGGGATGCAGACACCTTTCGGCTTTTCCCATGCTGAAGAAGCACTAGTCAAAAGGTTTCTGTGGTCATTTTCCATCTTGACAATGCTGCCAACAGGCAGTCAGCCTCTCTACCCAGAGCGTAGCTTATAGGGCTGCTCCCCATCTTGGGATTCACACCAGAGGGGAGAGACAAACACCAGCAGATCAACATCAGGAAGCGACTCCAGGCACACACTGTCAGTTTTTAAAGATGAGCCAAGGGAATAAGGATGAGTTATGAAAGCATTAAAGATACAAAAATATTTATGATCAAAATATTTTCCAATACTTATTGAGCAGCAGCTATCATGAAGTTCTAGGTTACAACCTTTAATATTCAGAATGGGATTTGAAACCTCTCCCAATTGTGGAGGAAATTTACACATATCTAGAGCCTTTTTGCCCTGGTTTGGGAAGGATGCTGGCAGCAATCACGGGGGCTGTTCATGATTCTATGGTCATCAGCATATTGACTCTGACAAGGTCTTCCTGAGCGTCTTGGTCTCCCATTTTACTGTCCACTCCTTTCAAAGCCTAAGCAAATCTGACTGAATGGCTTCTAGAACTGGACAGATCACTGAGTTCCTAACTTACTCTTTTTCAATGCATATATTTTCTCTTCGAAGAACTCTTTCATTTTCTATTACCTATTTGTTTCTGTTTTTATGAGGAGAGAGTAGGGAAGAGTAAAAATATGAGAAATGTGGACATTTCCTTCCTTCATGAGCAGATTTACTCTAACTAGTACAGGAAGAGAAAATTTGGGGTCAAGGTGAAAACAGTGGAGGAGAGTCTTTATTTTACTAAGGAGAAGATAATAGAGAACTTCTGGCTAAAAAAAGAGTCAATCAATTAAGATACATTTAGCATTATCAAATATTATTACCCATCAATGGTCAATTCTCAATTGTCAATCAGTGGGGACTGTGTGCCCCAAGTCCACAGTAAACCCCCAAATTCCACCTCATGTCATTGTCTGTTCCCACCCCAGTCCCATCACAGTATCATCTCATCAGAGCACTAACACATTGTATGTAAAATGCATTTGGCTTTACTTCTATCTGCCCAATCTCTGGTTGGGATTGAACAAACGTCTGAAAGGCAGATGGTAGGAGTGACGTGAGTACTACCATGACTGAGTCATCAGCCCCCAGATAACTGGGCATGGGCTCTTGAGTTAATTCATACAGCTGAAAACTTTTAACTTTGCGTCACACTGATCACACATAAAGGAGAGCTTTATGCTTTTGCCATTAACAACCCTCCTGGTTTAAATAAAAAGGAGGGTAAAATATTAACAGACAAGTGGGTTTGCCAAATAGAATAGCTGCAGATATTTTCCAGAAGAGCTTATCAGCTGGCATCATCACTTGATTTTGGTAGGTCTCGTCAAAATAAACACAGAGATGTGGACAGACCGAGGGGGGCTGGGCTGGGCGGTGGTGATGGGGGTGAGGGCGGGGGAAGCTGGGTTTCTTGATGGGAAAATGCTTTTGGACTTGGAGCAAGGTACCAAGGTGGGCAGGGAGGCCACGTGCAGATTTGAAGGCAAGCCAGATGGAGAGAACTCCCCACAAATTACCCAGCCCCAAACCCAAGAACACCAAAACAAACTCTAAGGAATCTAGCCATAGCAGCAGCACAGCCTCATTGCGCTGAGCAATTGAGAAAGTGAAGAAAGAAAGAGAAGGAGGAAGGAAAAAGGAGGAGGAGGAATGGAAGGGGTGGGAAAGCAAAACAAAATAAGTAAAACCACAGAACAATATAAATAAAAATAAACCAATAACAGAATAAAATTTGTAACTCCTTTTTTTTTTTAATTTCACAAAAGTTTTCACAAGGACAACGTTATAGAAGAAAACCCCCAGCAGTGGCTAGGTCATGCAGAACCATTAATTGTCATACCTTGGCCCATTCTATTCATCCTTGTTGCACTTTAGAGAGAGAAGTAAGCTATGTGAGTTTTACAATGCTTTTAAACTGTCATATTTCCTGTTGAGCACTTTAACTGGCACATTCTTATAGTTATAAATGTTCTGAGGGTATAACTTTATAATCTCCCTTGCAAAGAATTCATGAAGCGCTCTTCATGATCCACAACTAGGGGATATATATATATATATATATATATATATATAAAAATATATATATATATATGGCCATATATAGTTATATATAAAGAGAGATAGTTGTATGTAATATATAAATCAAAATATATATAGGAACAAAAATAATTTGAAAAAAGTCTTTGACTCATAAGGCTTTTTAATATACATGTATACAATTTTTCCCCACTCCGTCCTGGTTGAAATACTGCACTGCCCCTATCTTTGGTGTGGGGGAGATGGGGGTCCTGACTGAGCCTCACTATTTTGTCAGTAAAAGTGCTTGTCAATCACACAGCAAGCAAATCTCAAAAACTATCATGCTGGAGGGGACAGGAGATCCAAAAGCTAAACCCAAAACATTCACCATAAAAACACCTTTTTAGAGATGGTATAGTTATGACTTTTGTTTTTCTCCTCATTGCTATCCCTGTTCTAGTCAATGGAATTGCTTGAAAAGTAAACATCTCAAATAGGTTGAGAGCAGCCCAGGGCTAGTCTATTCATGCAAGAATTTGGTTATGCTAGAGTTGGCCGACTTTTAAGAACTACTGTATCCCCTAAAATGTGATTTGCAAGTGTGAAACATCTGACAACTATATGTCGAAAAAAGGGGCATTTTTCTCTCATGCTTACTAACGTTAATAAAAGAAAGAAAACAAGAGAAACAAATAATTATACCAAAATGTGTTTGGCTTACTTGTGGATTCTTCTTACCCCACTACAACCCCCTCCATCTTGTAAGGACAAGGAGCTGCTTTCTATTAATGTCACTCACCAGCCTAATGGAATTGATTATGGTAAAGAAATGGAAGAGAAAGAATTCTTTCCCACCAGCTTTCTGCTTTGGGACAGAGCATAATACATACAGCTGTGCCAACAAGCTGAGATGGCCACTAGCTTTTGTCTTTGTTGAGTCAACTGTGGCTTGATCATCCTACAACCTGATTTATTTAGCATGTTGGCTCCTACAAAAACATTTCTGGTGCAGGGTTTATGTCCCTCTCACTCCACCATCACACAGCCCTCACTCCTACCTGGTGTTGGGGCCCTGCTAATCAAACAAAGGGGAGTAAAAAGGTCCCCTGAGAATGCATGGAAAAATACTTGCTCTTTCCTGAGCATTATTTATTCTGTACATAAGGTAAGTAATTCACCTTTTAAAAGATGTAAAAGTCCCAGGAAGGCAGTTTTTACTGACTTACATCTGATATTTATGATACATATGGCTTTTCATCCCAAATGTCAAAAGTGAAAGAAAAAAGCGCTATTCATATGGCAGCATAAGGAGACAGAATAACAATTTAATATGCAATCAAACTTTTCACCTAAATGAAATGACTGGAATTTGATATATCCACCAATAGAATACTATTTCTTCCTCTGTATTAAGGTTAGAAATGTTTACATGAATTCCCAAAGAAGCAAGCTCTGGGAGAAAAGGACTTGGTGGGCAACTAAAAACAAAATCTCTGATGCTATGTTACTACAATCAGGTGTTTAATAATCTTCTACACAAACTGTGAAAGCTTTTCAAATGCTTTGCGATATTTCTGCCCAGAGAATGGTAACAATCAATACATTTTCATTGCTTTTTGGTTGCTTGTTTCAAATAAATGTGTGCTAAGTTATTGTGTGTGTATTTAAAAAAAGAAAGAGAAGAAAGAAAGAAAAACAAACAAAAACATCAAAACCCAAAAGCACCCTGATAATCCTGATAAACCAAAAAAAACTTTTCTTATACATTAAATAAATTTGCTTTGCCTAACTGACATTGATCACAAGTGCTCCTTTCTAATCTGTGAACTCATTCCTGCAGTGAGCTATTTATGTTTGGAGCATGCCTTTGGGTTATTTTTCCCCTAGAATCATAAATAACTTTTGGTCCGTCTGCTTATTTGCTGTTGTGCTCAAGGGTTTTATGGTGGTGAAATAAAAATGACAACCACATGCACAGTATCATACATATGCAAATATGTGTAAAAAAAAAAAAAGAGGGGGAAGGACTACAGGGGAAAACAGGGAAAGTTACTTTGTTGGAAACACCGACTGGGGCAATGAGTGGCAGATACAGTTTCACACACGGTGGCGGTAGACACATATCAAAGCCGCTCTTCCTGCACGTACTTCTGTTTGTCCCGGGACTCCCTGGACTTGGGCCGGTTCTGCCGATTCGCCGTGGACGGGATGGAGTGAACAGAAGAGCTCTTCTTGCTGGACGACTGTGACGAGTGGGAGGAATGAGACAGGCTGGCCCGGGACTGGCCGGCGTTGTGGTCAAACTGCATTAAGCAGAAGATCAGGTCCGTCGGCACGAGCTCGAACTCGTAGGGGGGGTTGGTGATGACATACCTACACGGGAAAGCCAAGATGTCACAGCCCGAAGGCGACCGGGTGTGGAATTTGACTCTCCCTGAGCCCGAGAGGAACTGCCTGGTTGCTAAACCCATCAGAGGATCTGAAAGACGCACTTCTAGTTGTCCAATCCCTTCAAAGTTTCTACCAAGTTAACAAAGTCCTCCTCTGTTTACCTCCACAGAAGAGGCCAGCCACGAGCATAGAGGGGCCAAACTGGAGCCAGTAATGGAAAAATCAGACTGTGCTGCTTCCTATGGATCCTGTGTATTCTTTCATACATCAAGGGCGCTTTCAATCCTGAGTCACCCATCTGTGAGTGATTTCATGAATCCATAACAACTTTCACTGTAGAATTTTTTGTTTTTCCTTACCAGTGAAATCAGACTAATAGGATTATTTTGAAAAGCATCCCAGGTGATTCAAATATGCATATCTGAGAAACACATACTTCTGTAGCAAAGTTTCGTGAGATATTATGCAAACTTTTTGATTTGGGCAATTCTAGGATATAGTCAGTTTTTGCCTGCTATGAATTTATTGTAGTGCATATTAGGAAAATAAAAAGTAGCACATCTAAACTGTCTCTGTCCAAAGTGATAATATATCATTTTCTACACATAAAAGTGAAATGGTAAGTCAATTAAAAATATATTAAGTAAAAAGACAAGATTCCAAGATACAGCAAAAGAACCATTTTACTTAAACACTAGCAATGTAAAGTATCTCTATATTAGGTACTTAACAGAGGTGATCCTAGTAGCTGGAGTTTAATGGAGATGCTACTAGTCCAACTTTTGCAATCATGTGATGGAACTAGTTTTACAAAACTCATATACTTCCCACAGTATCTTCACATGCATGATTAGCAATTAAAGAAAACATTTCTCATAACTTCCAAACTCAGTGTCAGATTTAATGAAGACAGAGTCATTTACACATTAAGAGTATGTAATGGTCTTTTGCTTTTATGGCAGGGGACAGGAGAGGAGGTATATACCCCTGCATTTAGGTGGAGATACAGAGTGGCAAGGAACACTTACCTCTTCGTGCATTGGCTGGGGGTGCTGAGGTGGGCATCTCTTAGCCGATAAATTCCAAAACAAAGCATATTATATGTTTTTAGAGCTTTGCAGAATAGATCACCATAACAACCACCATCCTGGGAGACAGCAAAAGAACAGAGAGAAACGTCTTTTTTATTTGCCTGGAAGTTAGAAGTCCAAGAGGGAAAAGAGCCTTTTCATAGAAGCTTGTTTTGTTGTCTTTTGAGTTGGAGGGTCTTTGTCAGGTGTCTGTAGTTTAAGAAAGTCAATGTGGTTAACACCTATACTTGATAGGGGTGATTTTAGGAATTAGAGAACAATGAGGTTTTCTGCTGGTGGTGTTCCGGTTTTCAAGAGCTCCCTAAGGAGATTATGCTTTCCCCTCAGTTGAGATGAAGGTGTAAAACTTGCCGGTCTCAGAAGTAGGCTTAGCCGAAGAGAAGAAATCAGCCCTACAGAACAGTGATTATGTTTTGCCCAGCTCAAATGTGGCAACTGTGATCAGACCATGTTATCAAAATGGCCTGAGTGATAATGAAATTCACTGCAAGGAGAAGGGACCCCACCAGGTCCTATGGTGAAAGACTTGCTGATAGGGACTGTGTGAAAAGCACAATTTGCAAACCTCAGAGATGGCAAGGGGGAAGAAGATGTGTTTCTGCAGGAGCTGGGGTCTTCAGGTGGAATAATTGGGATTCACAGTTCTAATCAGTTCATGGCCACCTTCCTGGGGTCTGGGGCCTGACTGAGGAATTGAATGCCAAAGCACTCTCTTGGAAACATAGGTATCAGACAGCCAGGTAGCCCCAGGTGGGCATGATTATAATAGAAGAACTACAGAATGATCTCACTGGAAATAAAGGGAATATATTTATCCTTCCTATCACTGGACTTTCCACGTGGGCATCATCATCTTACCACTCAAGTGGGGCCAAATCTTACCACTGTTTAAAGCCTTGATCCTACTCAAGTGTATCAGTAAGTGCTAAGTAAAGAGCCACAAGTTACAAAAATGTCTTTCATAAAAACCTCGTCTAACACAGGACCCACACCAAAACCAAACTGAAATATGGTGCAAGTAGGTACAAGTGTTCCAGGAAAAAATAGGGACACATCCTTTCCCACTATTTGACTTTCTGGTTGACACTGTTGTTCGTGGAACCGTCTTAGGCAGGCTCCTAAGACTCGTGGCTCCACCACGTCAACACATGTCCCTGGAGTTGTGCAGGGCATAAGGGTCAAGGCTGCCTGTGTCCAGCACCCAGTCTGGTGCAGAGAACCCAAGGGAAGAGGCTGGTCACCTCTGTCATAGGGTAGGCCTGGGGAAGGCAACTTTGTGCAGCCTAAGAAATTACAGGACCTAAGTTTTAAATTAGAGGCGTTGAACGGTCCACCTGAGATGCTGTTTGGCTATAGTTTCTAGATGCACATGAACACCTTGGTGCTTTGAGAACCATCAAAGCTTGGGTCAGTCTCAGACTCAAGCACTCAAACCTTAACATTTCTGGCTGGACATTCCCAGGTGACATTCGTGTAGATTCAAAACTGAGCAGCATTTAGCTATGCCAGAAACCTGTGGAAAGATTTCACAATCTGAGCTAAATGTTGGTGTCACCTGCTGTGCTCCATTTTGGGTAAGAAGGTCCCTGATGAAAATAGCAAGGGACAACAAGATTCATGGGCTCTAAAGCCAGGATGGCTTGGTGCAAATTCCCAAGATGGCCAGTCCTCAGTGTCTCTGGGGCTCAGCTGCCTTAGCATGTGTGGTAATAGAACCTGCATCACAGGGTCGCCATGAGGAGTAAAGCGATTTTTTTGCATAAAGCATGATGCCTGATACCCACTATATCATAAAAATCACCTCTAGTTATCTGTCACAGAAAAGAGAAGCATAGATGCCTAGCTTATCACCATCTCACATCAAGTTCACTGGAATGAATTTTCCCCAACACTGGGCTCAGGCATGCCTTGGGCTGTAAACTCACCCCCAAGTCTGCAAAGGGCCCGTCCAGCAGAGCTAGCTGGGCCACGCGGCAGCGGTCCCTGTTGGCCAGGGTCTGGGGGGTGCTGTAGCCCCCTCGAAGCGCATTCTCCTCAGCAATCAGAGCCTCGAGCTCCGGGGTGGCTCCTCCAGTTACCAAGGTCCGTATCAGGGTGAGGATATTGTCATTAAAGTACGTCTGTGGAGATAGAGGAAGAACATCCTTAAGCAAACACCCTAAAGTAACGACAGCCGACATCCAAATTACAACTTTTCTTGGTATCTCCTGTTTAAAGTTCTGGCCTGTCTCTTCAAATAATTTTATGTGGGAAGTGAAAAGACAGCAGCCTCCAATTATTCCATTCTTTTCTCTCCTGCTTGACTCTGCCATGACTTTAAAAAAACCAATTCAGAGGATTTTATTAAAGGGCTAACATCGGAATAAATGGTGTTTACCATAATTGGTGTTGCTTGGGAAGCAAATAATGCCTCACCTCTGCAAATCTACATGTCTATTGTGGGAATTTGGACACATGTGATGATCTACGGCCCACTCAGGCTAGTCCCCCGACAGGTCTGACTCTGAGGGCCTGTTACCCAGGTTGCCAAATGGCAAAACTTCTTTCTGTGCAGGAATGATATGCCAAGAGAATCATTACCGTCACAAACTCAGCAATTTATCACATGATTTGATGACAGTCTAACCCAGAAGTCGCCATCGATAAATAAGCCAAAAAAATTTATGATGGAGTGAGTGTCCTGGTGAATGTACTTTGGGTATGTTTTGTTTTGTATTTTTAAAAATACCCTCAGTAGTCCAAGGCAAATATTGCTTTTTAAAGAAATTTTCCTCTAAGTGTATATTTGTCTCACATCTGAAAGATAACAGGTCTGTCAGGGAGCAAACAATGGGGGGGGTTTAAAAAATTAATAGGATGCCAAGTAAAAGAGCTTAAAAAGATATTTGTCACTCAGCCTAATTTGAGAAAAATCTCAGCTAAAAGCCTTGCATTCCATTTTCCTGTGTAAGAAGGAATCAAACAGGCTAAGTTAAATCAAATCAAATCATGCCTGTGGCTTTTGAGACTCTCAGTCTTTTGGGAGCAGGTTAGAAAAGACACAAGCATTTTTACTTCAGCTGCTTCTTAGTTTACTTCGCAAAGCATGGTAGGGAACAAACCAGATAAGGAGGAGTTTTTGTCCCTGCTTTGCCATCACTAGTCCCATGTCTTGGGGAAGATTGCCTAATGTTTCTGGGCTTAGATGGTCTCGTCCATAATATAAGCATGGTCATTAAGATCGGGTTTATATGCAAAGAATTCCAAGAGGATTTCTGAGTTAAGATGATGCTGGCTGGTGGGCTGGATTCGCTTCCTTCATTGAAACACTCCCCAAAGTAATAGGAAAGTCTAGTTTCAAAGGAGGTTAGGGGTGTTATTCATAGAGTATCAGCCCTAAGGAAAAATTATACTCAAAATCCAGCTGTGCCCTGGGACAGGAAAGCAGAACAAGTACACAACAAGTAAGAAATGGTTAAGGGATCTGGGGTTGCATTGTGGGATTAATGCTACCTTCTCTTCAAGCTGTGTAGCCTTGCAAAGTTATTGAACATCTTTGTGCCTCAGTCTCATGATCTATAAAATGAAACAACAGAATGGCTCTATGCTTGGTGCACAAGGATAACTGATACTATTTCTGGCCTGATGTCAGAGCAATAGGACCACTGCTAATAAAAGGAAAGTCAATCTTACTTCCAACTTTCCCTTGGCTATTCAGTCTTTTCTATTATGGTTCTGTACGTCTCAGTCTACGTACACTTTTAGGCTCTGTCTAGACTCAGGAACTGTTCAGCAAAGGTCACTGAGGGTTGCATTCTGGGATGAGACCACAGAAGGTGGGTCCTCCAAAGTGGCACTCCAATAGAGGTTGGTTAAGGTTACCTACATAGACATTTTCCAGACTTTACTGGTGTAAACTGTCTTCCCTACAGTGAGATTACCCATCTCTGGAAGGAGGAGATGCTTCTAAGCTTGTGTACCACATTAAGTAATAAAAAATGAATGCAGAGCTTTGACAAAGGCCTTTGTATTACAATTACCATTCTAGATCAAGACTAGTGGGAGTGGGAGGGGGGTTCCAACAGACATAAGGTAGATGGCAAAATGCTCAGGACTTTGTTTATTGAACAGTTCACCTCTTTGTACTCTCAGAGAGAAGGCGGGAGAGAGAAAGTGAATGAGAACAAGAATATTTCCCAAAATGAACCATTGTGTTTAATATATAAAAGAAAAACATCTTTTTGACTGGCTAAATAGCTATTGGGAGAAGTAAAAATTTAGGGAGAACTTACTTTGAAGTCAAAATAAAATTTTTAAAAACAGAGAATGTATAAAAGAAGTAGAAGATAAAATGATAAGAACGCTGACTTCATACATCTTATGCAATTCTTTTCTAATGTAAAATATTAAAATTAAATGGATGTAAGGCATAGTTAAATTAATTCATTATCCTTTCATGATAAATGCACTCAACAAACCAGGAATAGAACTTTCCTATCTCATAAAGAACATGCATGAAAAATTCACAGTTAATACATTGTATTTAGGGGTGAAAGAATGGATGTTTTTCCTTTAAAGTCCAGAATAAGACAAAGATTTTGGGAGGGAAGGGAGAGGAAGGAAAAGTAAAAAAGACTAAGATGTGATATGTGCATTACCAAGACTCCACCGTGAATGCATCCATTATGTGTTGCAAACACACACGAATAAAATAAGTTGTTTAAGACAAAGAAACTACTCTTATGATTTGTATTCAACGTTGTGTTGGAGGCTTTAGCCAGTGCTAGAAAGAAATAAAAGGCATTCATACTGGAAAAGAAGAAATAAAATTGTTTCTATGCATAGATGACATGATATTGAGTACAGAAAATCCTAAGGAATCCTCTAAAAATATTATGGGTAAAACAGAGTTCATCTAGATTGCAGAATATAAAACCAATATACAAAAAACACATTCACAATAAATAATATGAGAATAGAATTAAGAAGACAATTCAATAACAACAGAATAAAATAATTAGAATAACTTTATCCAATAAAGTGAAATACCTGTGTACTAAAATCTGTGAAATATTACTGATAAAAGTTAAGATCTAAATAAACAGAAAGGCATCCCATGGTCATGGATTGGAAGGCTTAATATTATTAAAGTGGGAATAATCACTATAAAATGTATAGAATCGAGGTAATTATTACCAAAGTCCCAGAGATCAATTTTTTAAGAAATAGAAATTTGGGGGCAGGGGATTTAGCTCAGTGGTGCAACCACCTGCCTCACAAGTACAAGGTCCTGAGTTCAATCCCCAGTACCCCCCAAAAACTTAATAGAAATTTTAATTCTGAAATACTATGGAATTGCAAGAGGTATAAAGCAGCTAATGCAATCCTATAAGAAACAAAACAACACAAAAAAGTTGGAAGAACCCAGGTGCAATGATGCATACCTGAAACCCCATCACTTTGGGAGACTGAGGCAGAAGGATCACAAGTTTGAGTTCTGCCTGGGCAACTTAGAGAGATCTTGTCTCAAAAATAAAAAATAAAAAAGGACTGGGAAATAGCTCAGTGTGGAAGTCTGGGTTCATGCCTTGGTATTGGAAAAAATGTTGGAGGATTCACAGTTTGTGATTTCAAAACATATTACAAAAGTTACAGCAATCAAGACAGTGGGGTACTGGCATGAGGACAAACATAAGAAAAGCAAAATAGAATTGAAAGTCCAGAAATATACTCATACAGCTATGGAAAAAATGATTCTCAGTGAGAATACCAAAACACTACAATGCAAAAAGAACACAGTCTCTTCATCAAATAGGATTGTAGCAACTGAGTATTCACACACAGAAAAATAAAGTTCAACCTATATCTCCAACCACAAACAAAACATAACTCAAAATAATTGAAAGACCTAAATATAGCATTTAACCCTACAAAATTCTTAGGCAAGAAATACGAGCAAATCTTTATGAGCATTTACAATGGTTTCTTAGATAAGACACCAAAGCATATGGTTCCAAGACATATAAGCTGAACTTCATAAAAATTTCAAATATATGTGCCTTGAAAGACAGTATGTGTGAACTGAGAAGACCACCTCCAAAATGAGAGCAATTTATTGCCATTCATATTCTTATAAAGGTCTAATATTCAGTATTAAAACTCTTCTTATGACTCAACAACAAAAAGACAACCTGATTTTAGAAATGGGGAAAGGCTTGAACAAATTTTTCTTCAAAGCCAATATATATAAATGGACAACAGACATGAAAAATCATCAGGGAAATGCAAATCAAAACCCAAATAAGATGGCATTTTATACTAACTAGTTTAGCAGTAAAAAGAATAGAACATAATCGGAACAACTGATGAGAGTGTGGAGAAATTGGAATCCTCTTGTATTGCTGGTAGGGACAGAAAACAATGCAACCAACTGGCAAATAGTCTATCAGTTTCTCATGTATTTACACTCTAAGTTATATAACCCAGCAATTACACTATATATGCTAAGGAGAAATGAAGACGTATGCACATGAAAACTTGCACAGAGAGGTTTATAGCAGCATTATTCAGGACAGCCAAAAGGTGGAAACAGAATGCCAGCTCATGGATGCACTGATGTGTTGTATCCATGCAATGGATGCTATTTGGCTACAAAAAGAAATTAAACACTAATACCTGCTACGACACAGATAAAACTTGGACATTTCTAAAAAGGCAAATCTACAGAGATTAGTAGTGCAATGGTTGTTTAGGGCTGAGGGAGTAGAGGTAAGGAAGGAGAGGATAGGTTCCTTTTTGAAATGATGAAAATGGTGTAAAATTTACTATGGAGATAAATGTTATAAAACTGCATGTATTCTAAAGCCCACTGATTGTAGACACTGGGTGAACTGCATGGTCTATTAATATCTCAACAAGGATGTTTTTAAGAAGAAATGGCTGACAGGAACGTCAGTCTATACTGGCCACATTTTTAATAGTGAAGTAGCAGGAAATTATAGAAATGCAAGACATGCATACATACATGTACAGAGATACATTCACATACAATCAGTGATATGGAAGTAAAATTAAATAGTTCTAAACAGTCTAGAGAAAAGTATAGTGATTTTCCTTTTATTAAAAGGAATCTGACAGTAAA